TTTTGTATATGTCGGCTTAAGAAGCCTTTTGATCAAGATGTAACATGCACTTTGTTTTATTTGTATTCAAGTTGTAAAACTATGTTAAAATGTATGTCATTTCATTTTATCTATGCACAGCTCTTATAGACTAATCAGATTTAAATTTATTGCTTCCGCATATGTAAGCCCCATATGTATACTCTGATTGTGTGAACTTGGTAAGTTGGCCTTTGGTAATCTCGGATTACTGGCTATCATGACACCATTCTACTAGGGGCGGAATGGGGTCGTGACAAGTTTTTTTTCACCATAGTAAGGGTTAATTACATTTTTCATTCTTATAGTGTGATCTATATATTACTTTAATTCTTATAATTTCAAATTGAACAATTTAATCCTTGTACTTTAAGTCTAATTTTAATTTATTCCTTCTATCTAAATTTCGCTAATTTTTTATATGTGTCACCTTAACAAATTGATAAGTGTCTCAAAATTATTAGTTTTAATCTCAAATTTAGACAAAAAAAAACTAAATTGAAACTAGACTTAAAATATAAGAACTAAATTGTTCAATTTAAAATTATAAGAAATAAAGTAAGATTTAAATCAAACTATATAGGTGAAAAGTGCTATTAACCCCCTTATTAATTTTTGCTCCTACGTAGTTGGGGCAGCATTTATGTTCCTGTGTTAATTAGTGAATTTTACAAACAAATTTATTTCAACACTTTGTGATCAATAATGCTACACTTACAATATTTTTATATCATATTATACTTATTATCTTATCTGTTAACACAACATTGGGGTAATGGTCTTACTACTCAAATATTTATTCAATACAATGCTGATAACTAGATTGACACATTGAATGATAAGATACGATGGTAAAAATAAATAGTTATGTTAGCATTACTCTTTTGTGACTAATAAGCCAACAACATCATAGAGAAATAAATGATTTATCTGTATGAACAAATAAAACATTTGTACAAAAATTACACTAACCCCTCCTGAAATTTGATAAAAATACACTTAGCCCAACAATTTTAACAAAATTATATTGGCCTTGTTTGTGAAGTTAGCTATTTTAGTAGGCTAAAATTTTTGCGTTTGAAAAAATAGTTAGATTGTTTTGTAGTTAGATGTGATGTTTGTGAGGGGAAAAAAAAAAGTGAAATGATTATGAGTTTAATGTGACATTTTGTCTTATAGGCTATTTTAACCTATTTTGTCTTTTTGTGAATTTTAATCCAAAAAGCCAAATTGTAGCATTTGCCAAACAAGGCCATTAGCCTCCTCATCCACCTACCAAGCACCCATTTCTTCTTTCTCTCTCCATTTCTCAAACCTTAAACCTAACCACTCCTATAACTCAACCATTCCCTAACCCTAAGCAAATCAGCATCCTACCGTTCCTACAACTCAGCCACCACCAAAACCAGCACCAACAACACAACCCTAACCATAAGGAGAAAAAGATACGAGAGAAGAGGGGTGAAGTCATCCTATATTCCCATTGTTGCTACCATCCCATCGCTATCATCTCTTTCGAGTTGACCCTCAATGATCACTCATTTAAACTATGATAAAAAAGGAGTTAGGACATCATCGACTGCGATTTAAGCGTTCATGGGAAAGAGGTGCTACGATGGTGATATTGAAAAAAGAGTAGTGTTGTTGTGATGACAAGGTTTGACGAAAATAGGGGCTATGGAGAAGGGAGCTAGATGCGAGGGGAGAAGGTGATAAGAAAGAATAAAGTGATTGTGGTAATGGCACTATGTTGAAGGGTTGGGGCTAGGGCTTAAGAGCATATTGAGGCTAGGGTTTGGCGATGGCATTACTAGGGAAAAGAAGGTGGCACTGACATTCGAGTGGAAAAAAGGTGGCATTTGTGGTGTTGAAAAGGAAGAGAGACGAGCACTGGTAGATGGCATTGTAGCATTGTAACAATGAGTCCGGATCCTCTCCAACCAATGTCTCTGGCCTTCCCTCCGGGTGACGGCCCAGATTGGGCCACGTCACCCCACTCAAAATATGCGGCTCAGATCAACTTAAAAGAAAAAAAAACAAACAAACAAACAAACAAATTTCAAAAACTGAGTTGAGTTTGTTCTTCTTTGTTTCTTCTTCTTTGTTTCTCTGCTTCAAACTCTTAAAAAAACCCAACTCTTAATTTAATGTAGTGTCTCAAATTGGAGAGAGAGTCAGAGTTTACAAATTTTGAGATTTGGTTGAAAAAACCCAACTCATAATTTCCTTCTCTGCAAATTTTTTTCCACCTCTGGGAGCCCACCGCCATTGATGGAATCTGCAAATTTACCACCAAAGTTTCAGAGATTTAGAAGAACACCCAACAAATCAAGCCACAAATGTTAAAATCATCAAAATCTAAAGCAAACCCACTCTCTCTCTAAAATTCAAGCCACATAAATCATTCAAATTCAACACTATAATTCTGGTTGCTTCAATTTCTTTCTTTTCTTTGATTTTTTCATTTCTTTCATTTTTTCATTTTTTTCCTTTGATTTGTACATGGGTTTTGCTCTGAAAAAATAGATCTAAATATTTCAGATCTAGAAGAAGAATGAGGGAGGGTGATATTGGATCGGCCGAAGTTGGTAGGGGTGGGGATGGGGGAGAGGAGTCCGGCGGGTGCTGGCGGTAGCGGTGGTGCGTGAAGGTCGCCGAAGGGTTTAGAAAAAGGAAGAAGGTAGTATATATGTATATATATATATGTATCAAATGTAAAATTAAGAAAAGAGAGATGGGTAGATGGCATTGTAGCATTGTAACAATGAGTCCGGATCCTCTCCAACCAATGTCTCTGGCCTTCCCTCTGGGTGATGGCCCAGATTGGGCCACGTCACCCCACTCAAAATATGCGGCTCAGATCAACTTAAAAAAAAAAAACAAAACAAAACAAATTTCAAAAACAGAGTTGAGTTTGTTCTTCTTTGTTTCTTCTTCTTTCTTTCTCTGCTTCAAACTCTTTAAAAAACCCAACTCTTAATTTAATGTAGTGTCTCAAATTGGAGAGAGAGTCAGAGTTTACAAATTTTGAGATTTGGTTAAAAAAACCCAACTCATAATTTCCTTCTCTGTAAATTTTTTTCCACCTTTGGGAGCCCACCGCCATTGATGGAATCTGCAAATTTACCACCAAAGTTTCAGAGATTTAGAAGAACACCCAACAAATTCATCAAGCCACAAATGTTAAAATCATCAAGATCTGAAGCAAACCCACTTTCTCTCTCTAAAATTCAAGCCACATAAATCATCCAAATTCAACACTATAATTCTGGTTGCTTCAATTTCTTTCTTTTCTTTGATTTTTTCATTTCTTTCATTTTTTCATTTTTTTCCTTTGATTTGTACATGGGTTTTGCTCTGAAAAAATAGATCTAAATATTTCAGATCTAGAAGAAGAATGAGGGAGGGTGATATTGGATCGGCCGAAGTTGGTAGGGGTGGGGATGGGGGAGAGGAGTCCGGCGGGTGCTGGCGGTAGCGGTGGTGCGTGAAGGTCGCCGAAGGGTTTAGAAAAAGGAAGAAGGTAGTATATATATATATATATATATGTATCAAATGTAAAATTAAGAAAAGAGAGATGGAGAATGGAAAAAGATCAAAAGCAGAGCATCCATGGAAGATTAGGGGAGAGAGAGAGGAAATTTGTCTCCGTTTTGAAATTTTTTTTTTTTTTTTAAGTTAATCTGAGCCGTATATTTTGAGTAGGGTGACATGGCCCAATCTGGGCCGTCACCCAGAAGAAAGGTTGGAGACACTGGCTGGAGAGAATCCAGACTCGATGACGTTGTTGTACGGATACGATGGCGGTAGTTGGTGTCAGTGTTGATGTGGGTCACGCTTGGCATTTGCATCGAAGGAATTGAAAGAGATGAGATAAAGAAGGGGGAGAATTACTATGTGATGTTTTGAAAAGTTTGTAAAAAATTGACTTTTTGACTTTTTTGGTAAAAAGCTAGGTTGTTTTGGATAAAAAAACTGACTTTTTTGGCTAAAAAAACCAAAAAGTCAAAAAAACTAGCTTTTTATCATTGTTCCCAAAAGACCCCATGTGACAAGGAATAGCTTAATTAGTAAGCCAAGCCTTACATAGTACTGAAGGGTAGATATGTCAACACATGTAGTCCATTAAAAGTGATTAGTGTACTGTGTTAGAATTGTAAGTAGGGATGTAAGGAAAAAAAATTTAAAAAAATGATCAAACTGATTTAACTAAACCGAAACGATTATATTTGGTTTGTATTTTTAACAAGAACAATTTGTGCGATTCTTCAATTTGATTTTTTTCAATTTTCGGTCCAGTATTGAATAAAACAGCTTATGCACCAAACTAAACTGAAACCGACCATTTCAACATATATTATATTTATAATATATACAATCTAATAATATAATGATATTAATAAGTATAATAAATTATTAACCTCAATTAATTAACCTTATCATCTCTATAATCTAAGTTAGTAAACTCTTATTATATAATCTTAACTAACTCATTACTCTTAAATCCTTGGTATTTATTATTATTATTATTTTGTTTGTATTTTCATTAATCTAGGAATTGAAAATATTTATTGAATGGATAGATTTAGATATGTTTGAAGTGGTGGACAAATAACTAATTCAATATTTTTACATAGATTAGTGACTATATTAAAAAGTGACTCAAGTTTGAAAAGTCCTAAACCGATTAAACCGCACCGAATCAAACCATTTCAATCAATTCGGTATGGTGTGATTTGATAGGAAAAACAATCTATATTGATATTCAGAATAATAAAACCAACATTACCTAGTCGTAGAAAATTTTTACCTAAATATCGATCGTACCAAACCAATTACATCTCTAATTGTAAGGTAGAGTATATTTTTATTAGGATTGTGTTTCTCTTATGTTCACATCTCAATATGAGAAAACTTGAGAGGTCCATAGAACCCACCACAGCCCCATTTTGATGATTTGAACCGCCTCATTTCGTTAAACCTTGAGAGAATTCAGTATAATTTATCCAGTGTAAATATCCAAATAGATATGATCACTTTACAAATGTTCTCTGATATTAATTTCAAGCTCAAAATGCAAAGAAAGTGATGAATCAAACCGAAGTTCACGTCGGCATATACCATATATTGCTCAAAGAAGACCCAAAATGAAGGGGACAAAAATAAAGTTAGCATCATTTTATCCTCACCTTGTCCCATCTTCTGTCTTATGCCTCCCTTCCCGATCCAATGCTAGAAAGAACCATGTGGTGACGTTTTTGCCTGTACTTGTTCAAGTACACTACTATTAAGAGGATGTTTGGAATGATCAAAATAAATATATTTTTTGATTTTTTATAAGATATGCAAAAATATAGAGAATTGATGTAACCAAAAAAAGATTATAAATAAATAAATAAAACAAAACACTTTTGTAAGAGATGTCAAATAGTGCCCTAATTGTTCAGTGTTTATGTCCAGCTATATTCTGTAATTTCTATGTGCACATAAATATACAAAAACTTGAGGAAGTGAGTGGCAGACATGGTAGCAGGTACTAGAAACCCAAAATAGATGAACAATTTTTCAAATTGGTCATTGAAATGAAATCATGAACAAAATCGGCAAAATAATTTATGTAAAGATCAGATCATTTATTTAAATGCAGCAGTGACCAGATAGAATTTCAAGAAAAGCAAAATCCAATCTAAATGCTGTGCAAAACCAAACAGATCCACTAGTGATGCCTACAATGTGATGGAAAAAAGTTTTCCTCCAACCATGTTTACCTCAGATAGGATATAGCCCTAATTGGTTCCCAATTGCGGTGTGTCATCATGGCTCTCCAAATAGACTCGGAAGGAAAATCTAACTTCAAACTGTTCTGTTCTCAGAATCTATATTCTCAAAATTTATTTGTTAATGTGGTTGGAGCGATCAATTAATTCTTCCAAATGAAACCTAGAGGCAGCGTAAAAAATTGAGTCAGTCGTTTTGGGACTCCAGAGCAATGCACAGCACCCCTCCAGCTGCAACATATCTGAACTAAACTCACTAATTTCTAATAAGCTTGTTTTCCCTTTGCAGAGAGTAATGTAAATGAAGTGCTATCCTTGAATTTCTCACTTTATGTATACCCTATTCTTTACGATCTTTTCTTCCTCGTTGACAGTCAAATGCCGTATCCCATTTTCCTTCAACCATCTCTCCCCACCTTCCAAACTATCTTTAAGTTGATTTTCCCTCATTTTCAACAACTTCAAGCCCTCACTCACTTTGGGGAAGAACCCTTCAGGCCTCAAACACCAAGCCTCAAATACTCCAAACAAAACAGCCAAATCACTACCAAGTCTCTCAACACCCCCATCATGAAACTTCCCATTGCTCATAAGAATACCATTAAAAAGCAAACGATCCACGCTGGTTGCCAACCTTCTCCAAACCCCAACGAAGTCCACCCCATTCAAACCCTCTTCTAAAACCGACATTTTTCCTTGCAGATAATCAAGCGCTGCAATGAACTGTTTAGATACTGCCCAGCCTTCTTCACCCTTTTCTTGCCATTGCTTCTTGTTCTTAATATAATCTCGACAGCGAGCATCAAATCCTCTCAAAACAACAGTAGATAACTTCTCAACCCATTCTGTTCTGAACTCTCCCAGCTTCTCAATTTCCGCATCAAAAATACCAGTCCCAGGTTCATTTGCCTCTCCTATTAAACCACCCTCACTGACTGGTATGGCCAATTGATCGCTATGGTTCAATCCCATCTCCAGAAAAAAGACATCTTCACACCATTCCTTCAAAACGGACTCAAAATAGCGACCAGCATTAATGGATTTTGTAACTTTGATTAGAGCATCATCATCAGTCAGGGCTGTCAGGCCCTCGGCTTCTTGGCATCTGAGAAATAAACAATCCAAAAATTTGCGTACAAGAGGTACACCAGCCAATCGGATAAACCTTGACCTTAAATAAATGGTTGGCACTGATCGAGAACGATCAACCACAGATGATAAGCGCCGAAGAAAAGCGCTGGAAATTGCAGGAGATTTATAATCTTCTGAACCAGAGACAACTCCTCCCTCAATTTTGGTTGACCAGTTTCTCTCATTCTCCATCTCAGGCTTTAACTTATCAAACATGTCAGTAATCTCTATCTCTGCCCACAAATCAAGCCAATCAGGTCGATCACAAAATACAGATAGAGAAGAAATTTTCTTTCCATCTTCTTGGAAGGAAGGCAAGATTCCCATCTGTGCTACCAGAGATTGTACTCTTTTATCAAAGCTAATCATCAAGTCAACAAGATGAAGCCAGGCTATTCTACCCTGGGAGCGACCACTGGTGACACTCTCTTCTTCAAGCTGACCAACATATATGGGAAATATTTCCTTTGCTAAGTATGTTGATAGGGAGGACACCATTGCTGAAATCCATTCTTCTCTGCAACTGTAACCTGATAGCATCGCTTCATCAACTAGGGGTTGCAACAACTCATCCATGGAGTCTACATAATCCCGAGTAATCTTATATACAAGAGCAAACATGAATTCTGGCTTATCAACCCACTTTGAGAAATGGCGTTGGGATGCAATTGCTAAAGGGTTCACCAGCTCCTCAATAGACCAAAGTGGCTGGTGCAGGGCAACTTCCCTATTATGCCCCGCTAGTTGCCGAGATTTTCTTCGTCTCTGCAATTCCTGCAGGCAGCATAATGCAATAAAATTTTCACAGTACTGATGCTTGAGGACCCCTTGCATTGTAAAAAGAGGATTTTGCACTTCAGCTGGTTTCCTTGCATCTGAATCTGAGGAATTCGACATGGACAAAGGTGGTGGCCATCCAAGTGAAGTAAGAAGGGCCCTGTGATCTGCAATTGCCTGGGGCCTTAAAATGGCTAATGCTCGATCTACTCTGTGATCAACAGCTGAAACTAGATGTGCCCACTGAGAACGTGTTTTTGTAACTGAAGCTAGAACATCTTCAGTTAGTCTGAGTGAATTAATAGCAAGCAAACGCACATCCTGCAGAGACTACGAAATTAGAAAGTAAAAAAAGAGACCATTGTTTATTCCAATCAGTCTAATCGGCACTCACTTCTGAATTCTGTGTGGAAGAATGCTTCCTTAGGTTTCTGTTTATTGTGGAAGATACTGCATCTTCAATATCACCAACCAAAGTATCAAGCTTTAATGCTGTCTCTGAAAGATCCAAGAAGCGTATTGAAAGAAGTAAAAATCCGATTAGAATTAAAACAAATAAAATTAGGCATAGGAATAAGGTTACCACAAGGTATTTGATAGAAAACTTGATATATAAATTGTTAGGCCCATTTCCTAATAGCTTAAGCTTTTGGGAAAATTGGTGGCTTAATTAGAGCCCAAGCTGAAAAAGGTCTTCAGTTCTAGTCTCTCCATTGGCATTTGGTATTCGGTTCCCATTTGGTTTCTTTTTCTATGCTTGGTTTTTTGCTTTTTTTGTTTGGTTCTCTGTTTGTCTCTCCACATATGAGATATGATTGTGTAAGATAATTTGATATACATTGTTAGGCCCAATTCCTAACGGCTTAAACTTTTGGAAAATTTGGTGACTTACCAATATCATGAAGGGAAAACAAAGATATTAGAAGTGAAGTGGTTACACATGCAAGAAAATGGGATGAATAATTTCCAAGAAAAGTCCATGCTATGAAAGCCAGATACTTTCTCCACAGTAAAGAAAAATTCATTTCTGGTTTAGGGCCAAGGACCAAGTCTTTTGACAATGTAAGTTTGCTGAAATCTAAAAAGCATAAATACAGATATGGAACATGGATACAATATGATACGAACACAGTAACACTGTAACTAAAGAACAAGTCACTGAAGCAGTAACCCAACCATGAATAAATACATATGGAATCATACGAAATTAGTCATCTTTTTACATAATATATACATTTTTATTTATTATATCAAAACAATGGCAAATGATTTATTTTTAACAGTGACATGTAAAATAATAAGCAGAAATAGGAAGTCCCGAAGTTTTACTCTTAAAAGTTTAAGGTATTTTTATACAACTAGAAATTGTAACAGTTTACTGTTTCAAATACTGCAAAACCTAAAGGAATGATTAATATGCATAAATCCCTACTCTTGTTTATTTTAATTTTGATCTCCATTTTATTTACTTCAAATACTGCAAAACCTTAAGCTTTATTTTAAGTTTGCTTGAATGCTACGTTGAATTGCTATATTTCTTTTTTTTATACATTTTGATAGTATAATTTATACAAAAATTATTGCGTTTTTTTAATCATTTTGCTAGGATCTTACGATCCTCGATCCCATCCTACAATCTGATCCGACAGACCCCCAAAACGATCCCGTGTAGGATCCCAATCTTAACAATCTTGATTTGGATCATCCATTTAGGTAGGGGATTTGGAAAGGAAAGGGAAAAAGAGAAAAGGTGAGGACAATGTGAATGAAATATAAGTTTAATTTTTTCTCCATTTCCCTTTCCTTTTCCAAATACCTATCCAAGTCCATGATCCCAACACAGCGTAAACCAAGATCACACAATAATGGAGTGGCACCACTACCACATTCTAAAACAAAATAAAGGTGTTTGCCAATCGCCACATATATTGTAGCAATATAGGCTACATTTGAAGGGGAACTGGGAAGAATGGAGAGGCGAAATGAAAATTTTATTCCAATTTTGCTTCATTCTATTGGGTACATCTAGGACAAAAAATGTGATTCCAAGTTACATTTCCAAGATAGAATGAGATTAACACAAGAAGTGGGAAATCGGGAATCTTATTCCCACATCCTACATGGGAATATCACATTCCTAGAGCAATCAAGTTATAAAAAAAAAAAAAAAAACATGGAACCCACATATCTAAAGGAAGATTTGGCTAGAGGTCCACAAGAATAGATTATACTAGTACAAGGTCAAATTCCTAACTTCAGTCCACTAATATTTTGGACAATTCTTTTAAAAAATAAAATTTATCAAACAAGATTCATGATGAATAAAAAAAAATTAAAACTAGTAAAATTTCACTGTCTTCACATAGTGAAATTTTATTATCTTTGGTGAAAATTCAGGGTTCAAAACAGTAATATTTTACTGTTTTCAAAATAGTGAAATATATATATATATATATATGAAATAGTAGTAGTGTTTGATTTGTGTGGTGCTACTGGATCTATTAGTTACAAGTAGATTACTAATAGCTGTAGCATTATAGTTTTTACAGAAAGGAGAACTTCATTAATAATAGACAAATGTAGATATATAAGGAAGGGGGGGGAGGAACGGACATCAGGTTCCAATAAAAAGCCTAAAGGCCAGACCCAAGGGCCACAACTTCCTCTAAAAAGCTTCAACAGAATAAAAGGTATAGAGTAAGAGGTCTATAGGGGAACTATATTTACAAAGCAAAAAGTGTTCCATGAGGAGAAGATCCAAGAACCTGCTACAAACATAGCAAGAGAATAAGCCCCATGCAAATATTTTCATTGAACCTTTGATATTCACAAGAATGAAAGAAATGAGCTACAAAAAAAAAAAATCGAAGTAAACTAGAGCTACTATAGTGCGTAGGGGTGTTCAACAAAAACGGTTGAACTGGTAAACTGACCCAATATAATTGAAACAGCAGGTTTGATCCGATTTTTATTGGTTTCGGTTATCGTTGCAGTTTCAAAAATGGTTGAACTGTTCAAATGGGTTCGATTCTTGATTCTAAGGCTTTAGTTACAGTTTTGAACCAAACCGTGATATATTAGTTTATTATTTTTAATATTTTTGTATGTAAATATAAGAATATAGAAGTTATTAGTAAGATTTGAACCTGTGTTACTAGAAAACGCTAATACCCTAGCGAATTATATATTGGTATGCACGTTCCAAAACATGGTACACTTCCATTCCAAAATGGTAAATTTAGTGATTCGAAACGATCCCAAAAGTGCTTCCGATATATTTCCTTAGGTAGAAAAAAATCAAACATAATAAACTAAAATCTAAGGTGAGTTAAGGTCTTTTTTTAATTATTATTGGCATTGGGGTATCCAGATCAAAGCCCGACTAATCCTAAGATGAGTTAAGTTTTGACAAGACAAAACATCAAAAATGCATTATAATGCCATAGAAATGCTTTGCTATATAAAATAAAAAAATTTAAAAATACATTTTATTAGATGTCTAATAATTAAAAGAAAATTACTTCAAAAGTACTATGAATTCTCATATGTAATATATACAATTATACTCCTATCCTATCGTACCACATTCCCGTTCCCATTCCACATTCCAAGTATCATAGATTTGAACACTAGTCTTGATTGTGAAATTGACAAACTCTAACCAACTTAACTAATCTAATTGTTGTTAATTGTTTAATTGACAAGACAAAACATTAAAAATGCATTATAATGCCATAGAAATGCTTTGCTATATAAAATAAAAAATTTTAAAAATACATTTTATTGGATGTCTAATAATTAAAAGAAAATTACTTTAGAAGTACTGTGAATTCTCATATGTAATATATACAATTATACTCCTATCCTATCGTACCACATTCCCGTTCCCATTCCACATTCCAAGTATCATAGATTTGAACACTAGTCTTGATTGTGAAATTGACAAACTCTAACCAACTTAACTAATCTAATTGTTGTTAATTGTTTAATATTAAAATATATATCATATTTCTTGTAATATAAAATTTTTAGAACCATAAAGCCGAACCAAACCAAATCAATTTCTATGGTTTGATTATGGTCCAATTATATAGGTTTAACAGTTCAGTTACGGTTTTAATTTTTCTAAAATCGTAAGGACTAGTTTAGTTTCTGGTTTACTCTAAAATCAGACCAATCCAATCCACGAACAACCCTAACAATGCAAAGGTTTTATTCCCTGCTATCGTTGAGTGTGTTTGATGATGAGCCCAATCAAGAATGAGGGAGAATTTAGAGAGAGAGAGAGAGAGAGAGAGAATTAAGAGAGAAATATCTCAATCAATGAATGTTCTATATCTAAAAGTTGGTAACAAAGTGGTTATCCCCTTCTAGATATAGGCTACAATTTTCCCTCCACTAACTATCACATGCTATCCTATATCATACTCTCCCACTCAAAACAACTTGTCATCAAGTGAAGACAACAAAACATAATTAACGCACTAGAAATAAAACCAAAACTAGAAGATACAATACAATCAAATCCCACAACGAAGAACTAATCTACAATGATGTTGGCACAAAAATCATCCGGCAAATATGGCACAAGGTGTTGCACACTAAAAGTGTTGGAGATGCCCAAATGAGAGGGCAGTTTGACTTGATAAACATTGTCGTTGACTTTGTGCAACACTTCACAAGGACTCACCTTCCTATCACTTGGCTTGGTGTAAGCACCATGAGGATACCTTTCTTTGCTTAACACAACCCACACCAAGGTTGTTAAGATCGGGATCCTACATAGGATCATTTTGGGGGTCTGGAGGATCGGATCGTAGAATCGGATCGAAGATCGTAAGTTCCTACTAAAACGATGAAAAAATGCAATAATTCTTATATGTCTAACTAATACTATTAAAATACATATAAAATGACCCAAAAAAACTTGAGAATGTAGCTCAAATGGTAGAACTCTTATACTTATGAGCAAATCGAGGTTCAAATCCTCGCATTCTCACTTGTGTGCCTTGCTCACTAACAATAATCAATTCAAATATACATTTTGCACATTTTTTTAAACAAAGAAAACATAATAAAAGAAGGTGGCAATTCAATTCAAGTTGTCATTCAAACATTTTCCTCAAATCTTAACAAAAGAACATACTAAAAGAAAATAGCAATTCAACTTCAAGTCTTCAAGTTAACACTTGCACAACATTGATATCCTTAAGAAAACAAACTAAAATAAGAGAAGAATAAATAAATAAGAGACTAAAATAAGTCATCATCTTCATCGCCGAAATCATCATTGCCACAATCAACAACATTGTTGATCTCATTGTCTCCCTCATCTTCATCAACACCCACCGTGCCACCCAACTCCTCAATGTCATCATCACCAATAGTAGCATCATCAAAGTCATGATCAAAATCCCTTGGAGCATTCATGTTGTCATCCATATCATCATCATCACTTACTTCATGAATTTCATCGACATTTTCTCCAATATGGTCACAGCCTAAGTTAGAGTAAAAAAAAAAAAATCCAAATTAAATCCAAATTGCAACTTCTAATTAAAACTAAAAGATGTATCATGTACCTCGACTTACATGCTTGTTCCAAATCCCTTGCAAGAGCATCTACCTCCTCATCTTCTGAATGACATCCATGTCGAGCATTCCTATCAAGCACACTCAACCAATTTCCTTCTCTTGGAAGAGTCGGCTTCTCTCTCTCTGTTATCCACTCATCGTCTGATGGAACATCATCCAAACATAATGGATTCATGATTGCTTGTCTATTCTTGTGCTTTTGTCTCAGTTTCAAATTGTACATGACAAAGACCAAGTCATTCATTCTCTTTTGGTATAAACGATTCCTCCGCTTTGAGTGTACCATCTCAAAAGCACTCCAATTGCGCTCACACCCTGATGAACTGCATGTTAGACTTAATACCCTAATTGCAAACCTCTTCAACTCAGGACATTCATCACCAAAAGAGTCCCACCAATCCCCTACATCGAAATTTTAATTAAGTAGTTCAAAATTTAAAGTTCTTCGAAACAAATAATCATAACATAAGATTGATACAACTTACAAATCAACTTAGGATAAAAATAAATAACCTGGAGATTTCTTTTTTCTAGTCAAGATTGCATTTTGTATACCAAAGAGTCCTCTTGCATTCTTGAATGCATCAATTTGCAAATCTATCTTCACCCTCTCATTAGTGTCAGGGACCATTTTTTCAAGACATTTGTACAACCCAATTTTAATCTCTACATCAGCTTGAAAATTGGGACTATAATGAAACTGAGGGTTCAAGAAGTATGCTGTAGCATGCAATGGGTGATGGAGTTGGATTTCCCATCTTCTATCAATGATGGCCCATATAGGATCATAGCTGACACAATTTAATAAATATTATTAATGAATAAATAAAAAGTTTTGGGAAATAGTATTAAAGAGTAAATAGCCAACACTAAATAAAAAGTTTACCATGTTAGGACATTATTGAAATTCTTTTGAATTTCCTCTTTCGCACGATCCATTGCTTCATAAATGAATCCCATTGCCGGATGCTCATCCAAATCCACCAACCTAAGTACCTTAATGAGAGGTACTGCAGCCTTCAAGCAGGTAGAAACGCCCTTCCAAAAATGTCGATTGTCCAAAACAATATTTTCAATTTTTTTCCCCTTTTCAGACTTCGCAAATCTACTATTCCTCCACTTCTTTGATGTAAATAGAGAGAACAATGCACCTTTTTGCTCATGAAGACGTCTCAATGTCAAGTAAGAGGTAGCAAACCGAGTTACCGTAGGCCTTATAAGTTCAATGTCTTTTGTAAACTCCTTTATCCAATGAATAAGATTGGTTCTTGAATAAATGTATGCCACAATCTTTTTTCCTTTACCAATTGTAACACGATGAACTTGTATTTCCTTCTCAAAATTTTCTAACATCAAATCTATGCAATGGGCGGCACAAGGAGTCCAAAACAAGCCCTTTCTCTTATCCATTAACATTTGTCCCGCCAATTTATAATTAGAAGCATTGTCAGTTACAACTTGCACAACATTTTCTTCTCCAACCTTCTCAACAACCTCATCTAACATCTCAAAAACCTTTTCACCCGTTTTTGAAATGTCGGATGTATCTAGTGATGACAAAAAAATAGTTCCATTAGGGCTATTCACAAGAAAATTACATATGGATCTTCTCTTTCTATCTGACCATCCATCCGACATAATTGTACATCCGGTCTTCTTCCATTGTTCCTTAAACTCATCAACCAATTGTAGTGTCTCATGCACTTCTTTTTTTAAAAATGTCACCCTAATTTCATGGTAAGATGGTGGCACAAGTCCTTTTCCATAATCCCCAATCTTCTTAACCATGAGTGGAAATATAGGGTTGTTGACACAATTAAAAGGAATTGCACTAGTGCAAAAAAAACGAGCTATAGTTTGACAAACATCATCTCTCTCTTCTTTCTTAAACATTTGATTGAGAGTTTTTTGATTTTGACGTCCAGATTTCTTCATCACAAATTTATCCATGGCACCCACCCGTTTTTGTCTGTTTTGATGATGACATGATAATAGTTCCACCTCCTCTTCAGAATCATCACCAACATCAAACATCTTTCTCTTTATTTTGAGACTCTAATGTTTGAGTTCTTAAAAGACTCATGAACTTTTCTCTAACATCTTCTGGGACTTGAAGACATGGCTCGACATTTTGATGAGTACAAGCTAAATGATGCTTTAATCTAAATATACCTCCCAATCAAGTCACGTTACAATACTTGCATTGTACCTTTTTGGTTGCAGCATCTATTTCAATTCCATGTTCCCAACCAGGATCCGTTTGGTTACCCGCAACATTTTTCCTCTTCCTCCCTCTTCCAGAACCAGAGGCAGACATTGTTAACTCAATTCACAAACCTACAATCATTTATTGAATATCACTAAATCAATTAATTACAATTTACAATTTCATAGAAGAAGGGGAAAAGGGGGAAAAACAAAAGGGGAATGAAAAACAGAAAAAATGGAAGAAAAGGGAAAAAAAGCAGTAGCAGAAAAGGAGAAAAAAATGGAAGACAAGAAGAAGAAGAAGAAGAGCAGAAAAATAACGCAGCAAAAAAAAAACATAGCTGAAGAAAGAAGAAGAACACAACGAACAGAGAAGAAGAAAAAGAAAAAGAAGTTGAACAGAGGAGAAGAGAAGGAGTCGAAGCACAGAGAAGAAGAGAAGAATGAGTCGAACAGAGAAGAAGAAGAAAAAGAAAAAGAAGAAGAAGAAGAAGCATACCTGGATGGAGGCTGGATGGATTCTTCTCACTGCTGCTTTCGTCGTCTGCTATCAACTCTCGTGACCAACTTTCCCCAATCTTTTGCCCTAATCTTATGTCATGGGTCTTCAGAAAAGAGAGAACACATCAAACTTGTATTAAAAATATGAGAAAAAAGGCCAAAAGTAGGATTGTATAGGATCGCGATCCAAATACGATCCTACGATCCCATATACGATCCCACCGATCCTGTTACGATCCTGAACAAAATGCGATTCAGCATACGATCCAGATCGATTCTCCAAAAATGGATTGTAGGATCGTACGATCCTACGATCCGGATCGCGATCTTAACAACCTTGACCACACGAGATCTCCCACATCAAACAACGCTTTCCGTTTATGCACATCGACGGCCGACTTGTATTTGGCATTGGACTTGTCAATTTGGGCCCTAACTTGAGCATGAACATTCTTCATGAATGTGGCCATGACCTCCACTTTAGCATTTCCCTTCCTTGAGATAGGCAACGGAGCCAAGTCCACAACACTTGAAGTTTTCATTCCATAAACTACTTTAAAGGGAGAAGTATTTATTGTGCGGTTGATCAATAAATTGTAAGCAAACTCGGCCAAAGGAATAATACCATCCCAACTGTTGGGATGATCTCCCGCAAGACACCTCAACAAGTTACCAAGACTTCGATTCACTACCTCCGTTTGGCCATCGGTTTGAGGATGAAATGTAGTGCTAAAGTTCAAGTCAGTGTCAATTTTCTTCCACAAAGTTCTCCAAAAGTGAGCAAAGAACTTAGTATCTCTATCAAACACAATAGAGGTAGGCACCCCATGCAACTTATAGACTTCCTTGAAGAAGAGGTTAGCATTATTTGTAGCATCCATAGTCTTCTTGCGAAGTATGAAATGTGCCATCTTAGAGAAACAGTCCACCACCACCGTAATAGAATCACTCCTCCTTTGTGTAAGAGGTAAACCCAACACAAAATCCATGCTAATGCATTGCCAAGGAGCATCTAGCACTGGTAAAGGCATATATAATCCCACATTAGTTGCAATCTCTTTGCTTCTTTGACAAATTTGACACCGCTTCACATAGCTGCCCACATCCTTGGTGGTCATGCCCAGCTAATAGTAAGCATCTTAAAGTAACCCAAGGATGCCCAAGTAGAATGTGGCAAGCATTCATAGGCACTACATCACACCATGCCTCATCAAAGTACTTCCGGATAGAAAAAGCAATCAAACACCATTTGGTCAACTTGATCTCATTGCTTTTCTTGAACCAAGATAGGGAATAAGGATGTTGATGGTCCTCCACCAGAAGATTGAGTTTAGCCACTACCTCTTGAGAAACCACGTTCTCACAACTTCCACTATCAATGATCATGTTACAAACGCGTCCACCAATATTACAAGTGGTAAACAAGATATTGGTACGCAACCAATCTCCTTGGCTTTCTAGCTTTGGTGATAGAAGCACCTTCTTCAACATAAGAGCAAGACCCTCTTCTTCATCACTATCTCCACCAATTTCAATATTGTCTGAAGTGTCATATATTGGACCACTCTCATAGTCACCATGTTCCCCAACTTCTTCAATAAGAAGTGCCTTGTTCCGATTAGCACCCATATTCTTTCGGCAATCGGAAGATCTATCGCCCAGTTCTCCACACTTGAAGCACTTGAAAGTTCCACCTTGACGTGGATTTCGGTTTCTGGAAGCATCATTAGAACAAGGAGCTTGAGAGGAAGAAGCACCCTTATCTATAAACTTGGAAGAGGACTAGCTTTGGCAAAGCTAGGAGGAGGACTCAGCCTAGAACCACCTCAAAACCCTCCTTGGAAGTATTGTCCCATTTGAGAGACATGATGGCTTTGTTACTTTTCCATGGGTAAGGCTCGATTATAGGAAACATTACACAATGTATACAAGGCAAGAACATCTTGGATCGAAGGCTTCAAGGCACTCACATATCGAGCCACCCGTTGCTCTTCACAAATCAACTCGAGCAATGAGTTGATAAGACTTTGTGTACTCACCCATACTTCCAACTTGCTTGAGAACATGAAGTGCTTGATAGACACTTTGAAGGTAGTTGAACAGTAACAAATGACCCTTCAACTTTTTCTTCATCTTCTCCCAATCACAATTTCTCTCTTTGCCACATCACCGACAATTAAGTTGAAGTTGTTCCCACCAAGGAAAAGCTCTTCCTTTTAACCGAATGGCAACAAGCTTGACATTCTTCTCATTAAAAACCTCACCATAATCAAAGATTTTCTCAACAGTGTTGAGTCAATCAATGAATTCGTTGGGATTAAGGCTTCCATAAAAGTCGGGAAACTCAATCTTGATATTGTTCTCCCATTTGTGTTCCATGCTACCCGCACCCGTTCGATGCCTTTGTAGAGCCCAAAAGATATTATCAAAAGAATGATCACCTTTGGTATCATCGAAACCATCACTACCATTGGTAGGAGGCAGGAGACGTTGCACCGTCTCGATTAGAATGGCAATTTACCGTCTCATCTCGGCTATTTCATCTCTCAAATATGGAACCCCATACCCTCGGTATCATCACCCAAATCCAGGGCATAACCCCTACCACGACCACCCCTATGACCTCGCCTCCGATTAGCCATAACAACACCACAAAATGTTCTCAAAACTGTCCAGATCAAAGTTTTTAAAAGCGAATGCGTACATCAAGGCGTTTTACCCCTCATGAGGCGAGGCGTAAGTCTCAAGGCGTTGAGGCGTAAGCATTTCAAATTTCAAATTTTAATATTTAGTGAATAAATTAAATATTTTAAAATAGTAAAAAAATAAAAACAAAATTAAATATAAAGGTGTAAATACTTTTCGCTTTAATGCATTGAACACTTTACTGCATAGAAGGAAGTTTTCCTTCACTGAAAGTGAAATTGATATTCTTAACTTCAGTGATTAAGCTTCTCACTTGATCATTAACTGTGTTTTTTCTTGATTGATCATTTACTTAATTTTTCCTGTAGAATATAGTTGCAAAAAAGGGTTTTTTTTTTTTTGTTTTTTTTCTATTTAAACAATCAAATAAGTTAACAAAAGTCAAGGCAACCTCTACATGTGTATACTCCTCATATGCTTGTGCGCAAAAAGCATACAAAGCGCACCTAAAGCGCATGTCTCAAACTATGATGCGCAAGCCTTTGGGGAGTAATGCCTAAAAATCAAAGCCTTGATACATTTTACCTTAGCCTCAAGGCGAGGCGAGCATCGAGGCGAGGCGAGGCGAGGCGAGCATCAAGGCGAGCCTCAAGAAAGCCTTTTAAAACTTTGGTCCAGATATACAGATTTCAGATAGCACAATTCCAAACCCAATTCACAGATTAGGACAATTCAGTGTAACTACCAACTCACAGCAGTATAAAGTATCAAATATTCAAGAATCAACAAGAAGAAGATAATACCAAGAATTGATTCAAAACAGTGCCAAGTATTGAGAACCCAGTCTGTATAATGGAATTTGAACAACCCAAGAAGTGAAATAGGTGATCGAATTACCTCAATCAGATGCAGAGCCAAAAACAGCCCCCTTGTAAAGAACCTCTGCTTCAGTCTTGCGAAGATGACCAGAAATCTCCTTCAACCAGACACAGTTGTGAAGATTCACGATGATTGAACAAGTCACAAAGTCAAACCAGGTGCGATGCTTGATTTGTGAAATCAAATCGCAAGTTCAAATAGCAATGGTCTTCGTAGACTCTAGTGTCGAACAGGAGTGTCAAAAATCAAAGGTCTTCTCTCGCAAATTCAGGTCATAATGTCGATTCTAGCCCAAACCACGAATTGGACTGTGTATGTCGAATTCGAACTCGATTTCTCCACTAGGGTTCCTGCAGATTCATTATCTGTGGATTGTAATATCAAAACACTCCTTCAAATTGCGAAATCAGTGGCTCCAATCAGGTACGTAGATCTCCTCATGTAGAGTTAGATGATGAACCAACCAGAATTGATATCAAAACCCTTACTCTTATACCAAAATGATGATGAGCCCAATCAAGAAAGAGAGAATTTAGAGAGAGAAATATCTCAATCAATGAATGTTCCATATCTAAAAGTTAGTTACAAAGTGGTTATCCTCTTCTAGATATAGGCTACAATTTTCCCTCCACTAACTATCATATGCTATGCACATGCTATCCTACATCAATGTTCTCTATATTTCTCCACCTCCTCTGCCTCTTAACACTTTTTGTCGTCATCATCATGATGGTTTTATCTAAACTCCTCTCTCATTTCAACTAGATTTGAGTGTTGATGCCTATGAAGTACGAACACCTGTCTGAAGGCCACATACTAGTGTCTCTGTGTCAGACAGGTGTCGGACACAGACACGCTAGAAGGAATTGAACACACTGAGGACACACTGGAGACACGCCGAGGACATGCTAAGACACGTTAGGGACCTATTTTTTATTATTTTTTCACAAGAATAACATATCAATGTTGATGAATTTGATGAGAATAAATATTTGACATAGAATAAATATATAATATTAAAAAATATGACATATAATAATTATATGCTTTGCACATGTTCCCTACACGCTACACACCATGTCCTACATTTTTTAAAATTTGTGTGTTCGCGTATCCGTGTCGAGTCCATCTTGCATCATGTGCTCATGTCCATGCTCTGAGGTTGATGTAGGGGATGTTGAATTCAACGTGTTTGTCAATCAAGTTGCAAGAGGTTGGGTTGGGAACAACGTTGGGGATTGGGGGATTTGTTTAATTGTCTAGAAAAATCAATCCAGCTTAAAATGTGCACCTCAAGCACCAAACAAACTGAGTTAAGGGGCTTGAACCATTAAAAAAAGTTCAAGTTTACTACTACTATCACATAAGGGACCTTTTGCCAAATTTTCTATATTTAAAAGAGCAAATTTCATTTTTCCCATGTGGTTTCAAGCACTTCACCTCCTAGACATTTAAAAATAGGCAAAATGCCCTCACGTGGTTTTGGACTACGATGTAATGCTAACTTTGTTAATAGCGGATGAAAAAATGACCACAATGCCCTGTCTGCCTTCTTTTTTGTGTTCTCTCTCTTTTTTGTTATATTGTTATACAGATAATTTTGAACTTAATATATGTAGAGTGTGTATATATATTCACATACAATAAACACAGATATATATAATACGCCATACATATAGCTCATAGTTTATACATATATATAGGCTCACTACCTATTACGGAATTCACAAATATCCTTGATGTGTTCAAATGTTGCAACCACCAACAAGAATTCTTAATCTTAGGAATCAAGTGTTTTGGTGTGAGATATGAACAAAAGATGCCTGCCATTTGTTTATTTGATCTTATGTGAAAGCAAATTGTGTTTGTATATAAAGTTTGTGTAAAACCATTTTATATAAATACGATGCATCTGATTGGGCAAGAAAGGAGAGAGGGGGTGACAAGGAAAGTGCAAGGAGGTGGCTGGGGAGGTGAGAGGGGGTAGGGGGAGGCATTGTGTACAAAAGAGAAGATGAAAGGTTAAGGTTAGGGTTTTGACATTAATAAGAGAAAATTGATAAAGACAAGGTAATATTGTCTTTTTGCTTTGGAATTTGACTTAAATTTTTTTATGCCCTCTTTCAAAATAGGCATGTGTGGCACAATCATCAATTTAGACAGAGTTCTTTAACAGTGGGAGGTGAGGTGCAAAAGAGGCCAAAATCACATGAAGCAGTTTTGGTGTTTTTTAAATATCATGGGGGTAAAGTACAAATGGGCCACACCACGAAGGTAAGATTTTGCCCTATTTAAGATTCTACCATTTTCTCAAATGAAATTCTCAATTAATCCCAACACTTGAATTACAAACATGGCCAAAGTTCTTTGGCATGTTCAATGAAGTGACAAAATGGAGACAGATCCTATGCTAAATCTAGGGAAGAAAACAAGAACATATTGTTTCAAGTATCATCAGGGTTCCTGCAGATTCATTATCTGTGGATTGTAATATTGGTGATGTCCACTAAAATATTGTGTGTGCGCGCGCGCGCGCAAAAGAGAGAGAGGGAGGGAAAAACAAACACCTGAGGGAGCACCAAAGGTGGAATATGTTGTAATATGGTTTCAAACAACATTTGCAGAGAATACTTTTGTCTATAGATCCTTCTAAGTTCTATAATATATATATATATATGCTCTATTGAATTAATAAAAATAAAGAAGAAAAAAAGCAAATTATGAAATTAGAAGGATCATCATTCTAAAGACAAAAAAAAAAAAAAAAAAACTAACTAACTAATTGGGCCTAACCAAGACTGCCCATTGACTTTGGCAAGTTATCATTTTCTCAAAATCAACATATACAAATACTCTTTGTTTCCTTAGGCAAGACAGCAGGGGATTAGAGCACCTGGCTTCAATGTTGAGAAACCAACCAAGGTACCACCAGACCTAAAAAGATGGTGGTTTAAAGAAACATAAATACAACCAAGGTACCACCAGACCTAAAAAGATGGTGGTTTAAAGAAACATAAATATGAGATTCAATTCATTCTTTGGTTTGTTGTTGTTTTGTTTGGTTGGGCAGGCCTCAATGACATAAGCACTCAGCAAGATCAAGTAGGAGCATCCAACATATGACTGACTTAATGTTTTAAATGAGATATTGTTTGAATATCATAATATCATATTAACTATAATTCAAGTTTATTTGAATACAAAAGTATGAATATCTTATTTTCTATTAAATAGCACAAAATGAAAAAGAGAGAGAGAGAGAGAGAGAGAGAGAGAAGAAGAAGAAGGCATCATATGTTTTGCTAAATATCTTCCAATGTTCTAAAAGAATAGTCATGTAATAAAGATAATGATGCAGATCAGATTGTCACCACGTACTTTGCAATTGGATCGTTGGGTGGAAAACGATAAACATGTATTCCATCCAATGTTATTGGATTTGGACTCAAAGGCCCATGTTTGATATGCCCAATGGACAAAATTCACCACTTCACCATGGCCTATGGCAATTGTCCAGCAAATTCCTTCATTTGGGACTCTGAATTCACAATTTTGCTGTTTTAGAGAACTTTTGTTTTGGTAATAACTTTTCCTTGGAATTTTTGTTTTTAATGCTATCTATTTTGGCATGTTTCTATAACTTTATAGTATAAAATTTAATCTTAACTCAAATTTGTTATTTTTAGTAAATTTTTTATTTCCTTTTGTTATTTTCTTATTTAACAGCTATTTCCTTTTGGGATTAAGACATCTTCTATTATAAATACGACTTGTTAAGCTATCCAACAGTAAGACTATGGCAAATCAGTTTTGGTAGTTGAGTAAAGTTTCATAGATGTTATTCTCTTTTTTTCCAATATCTTTGGTATCATTCAGAATCAACAAAGTCATTGATGCCCCCTCTTGTTTCAAGAATTCTTGCGTGAGAATCAATGGGCTCCACAAAGAACACCATGAGTAAATATCGGTCAACATCCCTAAACATAACCCTTACCTTAATATTGCCACCTTGGGCCAAAATTCTAGTTCCACTACTGCCGCTACAAACCAAACAAATTAAAAGATAACCACCTAAATAGATCATGACCCATTACAATGTTCACACCCAATTCAAATGATTATATGTCAGTTTCAACAATTACATAAAAAAGCATGGAATTTATCATCAATAGAAAAATTACCAAAACTTACCGGCATACATTCGAACCGTCTCAACCCTCGCGACTTCCTTCGCAAGCGACGGTAGCTCCTCCGCCAATATCTGCTCCGATCTCCCCAATCCATCTAACAATGAAAAAAATTAAAAATAAAAATCTCAAATTGAAAAAAATTCAACAACAAACACAAAACAGATAGATAGATAGATATGAATAATGAATGAGATAGAGAACCGGAAATGCGAGTAGAAGAACGGAGATGGGTTAATTTGGAATTGATGTTGGCGTAGAGAGCATCGATTCGATCAGAATACGAAGCGTAAGAGAGGAGGGTGGATTCGAGACGATGGTTGAGATCTGTGAGGCTTTGGTCCAAATCGAAGCAGCGAGTGTGGAGCTCCGATACGAGAGTGGAAGCTCGGTGGAGTTGATCTGTGGAGAGGAGTTTGTGGTGGAGGAAGGAGAGGACTGAGGGAGAGAGAGAAGTGATTGGGGGCAAAGTCTGGACCTTGGTGTCCATGTCTCTCTCTCTCTCTGTGTCAATCAGTCCATTGATTTGGACAGTGACAAAGAGAGAGTCAACGAGTGGAATTGATTAGGGTTTGGGGAATTTTCTCGAAGATGTTTTGCTTTCATGGAGAGAGAGAGAGAGAGAGAGAGAGAGAGAGATTATGATTTCTCTGCGGAGGAGAGGGAGGGTTCGATCATCTTCTTCTCAAGTTTCGTTACGGTCCAAGTCTGGATAATATATACTGCCAGGTCAGCATGAAAACAAGAGGGACCCAACGCCCTTGTACAAGATCCGGTCTATATGGGGGAGTTCGGATCCTCTCCCTTGTACTAGGGCGGCGCAGTGTGATTTGAACGTTTTGAGAATAAAATTACAAATTGAAAGAGTGATTAATGTATTAACAGGTTGTCAAATTGTGATTTGAATGGTTTTTTATGGATTAACAGATTAAAGAATATTTTAACTAATTATCATATATTTGTATAATATATAAAATTAATTTACATAATATTTTTTATATATATAACACAAAGTAATTTTATATAATATGTTCCATATATATAACCACTAATTTGTAATAAATTTCATATCTTAAATCTCTTTCACACTCATTTTTGCATTGATATTTCATTGAAAATTAGAAAATATGTATGTATTAACTATAGCGGAGCAAGGCGGTTCGATTAGTGAATTATAAATTTTAAAGTTTAAACCGCGATTAGTGGTTAGAGCGGTGCGGATTTGTGCGATTTTAGCGGATTATGCGGTATTTTGCACAGTCCTACGTGTTACCCTACCGTTGTTCCTGCGATGCGCTAAAACAACGTCGTTTTGGGACGAAATTTAAAATGTATATATATATATATAATATGCAGAACCAGAGGAAGAGAAAGAGGCGAAGAACAAAGAAGAATCTGATATATATGTATATATATACATACATACATATTACTTTGAACATCCATATTTACCTGTTTCTTTTTCTCTCTCTCTCTCTCCGCCGTCCGATTCTCCGGCGTCTCCTCCTCTGATTCTCCACTGCCCGATCTCCTCCCACAACCCCCTACTTGATTCTTTCTCTCTCTCTTTCTCTTTCTTCTATTTGATGTTTGTTTGTATTTGTCAAATTTGAATTTGAAAATTGAAGGTTAGTAAAGTAAAAAAATTACAAGTTTGTTTTTATGCATTTTGAGTAGAGAGAGATTTGGATTCAATGTGAAAAATGAACAACTTAAAGGTGTAAAAAAGGGGGCACTTAAAGTGTTTGTTAATTTGCAGCAAAGAAAAAGTTTTAATGGTTTAAAAAAAGGAACTAAGAATTGAAGAAGAAGAACAAATAGTCAAAAAAATTTCCTCTTCTCCTTGATTTTAGATCTCAAATCTTTCATAGAGATTTTGAACCTTTGTTTTTCTTCATAAACCTTGCCATTGGTGGCGAGACCGACGAACCCATCTTTTTCTTCCCCTCTTTCTTTTCCTCTGGTTCTGTTTGTTTGCTTGTTTTTTTTTTTTTTTTTTGAAATTTTGCCCCAAAATGACGTCATTTTGAGGCGCCATAGGAACCACCACAAGGTAACACGGCAAAGGATCCGGACTCCTATATCGGGTTATTCCTGGGAAGAAATTATTCAATCGCCTCATTCGGAGAAATTTGGGGAGAAATTAGGACTCCGTTTGGTGGAGTTTTCAAAATATAATTTTATACTTACTTTTGAGTGTGGTGTTTGTTTAGTATTTTCAAAAATTAATTTTACACTCACTTTTAAAAACTCTTTGCAAGGCAGGAAAATTTGGATTAACCAGTCGTCCCCTAGATGTCCAGCCAATTGACCGGAGCAGTACTTTTCTTCTTTTTTTTGGCAGTTAGCACGTGGTATTTTTTATATTTTAAATAAAAAAATTTTGAAATTTTTTAAAATTTTTTATGAGTTTTGAATAGAATTTTGAGTTGTGTGTTTGGTTATAAGTTGTAAACTTTTGTATCAAATATCACATGACACATCAAAAATTTCCCACTCAATTCAAAACTCATTCCAAAACTCATTCACCAAATAAATTTTTCACACTCAAATCATAATTCCAAAACTTATAAACTCAAAATACAACTCCATTCTCAAATCATATGTAGAAAACTCTACCAAACGCAACCTGGGTATTTTAATTGTTTTTCTTAATTATTTTAGATCTCGTTTAAGGATAATATATTTTAGTTAAAAAAATTAAAAAATTATTATAAGTTGCCACATTATTTTTTTAACTTTTTTACATGTATTTTTATAAAAAGTCAAAAAGTTATTAAAATTGAATGTTCCCAAAAGTTGTTTTTCAAAAGATAATTAATTTTTTATAGTTGATTTGATAGTTATAAAAGAAAAAATGAAATGATTATGGATTAGATGTGACATTTTGTCTTATTGACTATTTTAACCTATTTTGTTTTTTATTAGCTATTTTAGTCCAAATAGTTCTTCCCAAATAAGGCCAATGTTGCTGGAGCATTCCTCATTTCTATTTATAGGTTAGATCATTAGTTTGTAACACAAAAGTAGTGAGTCTCATAGTGTAGACCACTAATTACTTTTTATCTATTTTTTTTAAAAAAACGATTAAATAAATTAAGCATGGTTTGGAAAGCGGACATTCGGTTCATAAATTCAAATTTCAATTTTATTTAGCCAAAGGTTCAAGTGCTCAAATACTCTGTCCAAAAAGCAACCTCAAATAAATTGACAAAAATACCTTTCCTTAAATATATCATATGCACGGTACCATTTACACTCATCTCTCTCTCTCTCTCTCTCTCTCTCTCTCTCTCTCTCTCTCTCTTCTCTACATCTCACGCAGGCCTTGTCGTCTCCGTCGCCATCGCCACTATGGAGTATAGTGCCTGGAAGTCTGCTGCCAAAACACTAACCCCAAACGAGTTCTGTACCACAACCCTATCATTTCTCTCATTTATCTTTCTTTCTTTTCTCTGTCTCTTTGCAGCACATCAGCTGCGACAGCACAACTGACACAGCCACTACCGACGTTGCCGCGAACTTCCTCTGCATTTTTTCGATCAAATTTGAGATCAGATCTCCTTCATTTTCCTCCATCTTGACTCATCCTCGTCCTCCACTAGTGGATCGCCACCCCGTCTCCATATCTTTCCGCACCGCCCTAATGGTAATCCCGTCACCACCAAGCTTAGGTTTTTCTCTTTGTATATATATATATATATATCTGTGTATATGCTTTCTCTCTCTAAAATCCTTTCTCAGTTAGAGTGTTTCTTTTTTAAAAAAGGTTATACTTCTATGGATCTTGATTTGTGTGGATTCACTAGTACTACACAATTTTGGTTCTGATTGGAAACCTAAAGAGGGTGTTTCTCTCTCTCTCTCTCTCTCTCTATATATATATATATATAAGAGTCTATAGAGCCTCTGATGATTGAAATTGCTTTGAACAAGGTCATGATTTGGTTCTTTACAGATCTAGTCTCATAGCAAAACTTCTGGTCTTTCCGATCTGGTATCATAACTTTGTTGGTGTTCAATCACACTGTGTGTACAAATATAAGGCTATGATTTGTTCAAAAAATTGATCTATTTGTTTTTGATCTTTTTAATTTTTTTTTAATTATTATTATTATGTAAGTTTAGATCATTTTTTGTTGTTGTTGTTGTTGATGATGATGAAGAAATTTGAATAGACAGGGAGAGAGGGTGAGGTAGACTGTAGCGATCCCAGTTTTGACTCGTCTCTTTGTGGTGTTCCGGGCTCGGGTTGGTATGGTTTTGAACGGTGCTACGTATCCTAGTTCCTTGTATTCCCCTTATTTTGGTTATCGGGTTATAGCGATGTGTTTGGAACAGGTAATGTCTCATGTTTGTATCGGGTTGTAGCGTATCTTTCATGTTTTGCCACTTCGCTGACTATGTCGGGGATCGAGTTGCCCGGTCAGCTCGTGGGGTCTAGGGGACAGCACCCCTTGGCGGGTCCAAGGGCAGCGTCCTGGCGAGGTCGAGGGGCAGCGCCTTCGAAGCAAAAATGCAAAATGCATTCGAAGTTGCTTGTTCGCTCGAGCGGTCGTTTATGCACTTCGAGCTGAGAATGTTTGGTTCCAGAAGTTTGACCTGTCTGCAAAAGTACTAGGAAAGTGTATTCGATACTCGAGCGGGGCTTTCTACGCTTGAGCGGAACATGTTATATCAATTCGTGAATCTGATATTTCAGATCACTTTTGTATATCTCTCTCTCTCTAAAAACATTTCATCTCCCTTCTCTCTACATTTCTCTACACAAACTAGATCAAAAACCTTGATTTCTCAAGATCCATTTGAGTTTTGTCATTACTTCTTCATCAAAGTGGGTTATCATCTCGAGGACTTCGTTGTGTGCGGTGAAGATTGAGTTTAGGAATCGTTGATTTTGGGGTTTCATCTCTATTCTTCTTCAAACTTAAGGTAGGGATTTTTTTTGAGTTATATATATTCTTGCAAGATCTAGATGATTTTCGAAATCATCCTTTGATAGCTTTTGAAAATTGATTGTTGATTCAAGAAGTTGAGCGATTTTTGAAAGTGGGTTTGTCTCTTGTTCTTTTAAAATGATCTTATGGGTCTTGATCTTCGTTGATTGAAGAAAAGATGATTTTGAAAAGTTTTCTTTCAAAAGATTTGGGTTGTATAGTTTTGGTGAGAAAACTTAGAAATTGGGGATTTTTAAAAGAGAATGAAAATTCATGAATGATATTATTATATTTATTTTGTGTGTCAAAATAAATGGATGTTTGGAAATTTTCTTATTTATATTTTATATAAATGATGAATTTCATGGAATATGAGAATTGTTATTCATTTTGAAAATTATTGTTCAAAACGTTGAAATAATCTTGAAATAACTAATTGTTGAGGATACTTGAGAAGAGGGAATTGTGTTATTCCTTGGATGATGAATTGAAATAAAAGTATTTATATTCATCTTGTGAAATTGGCATATCAATTCATTTGATTACATTAAACTTTGAAAGTTGATTTGAAAACTTACATTAAGAAAAGAATGTTGAGAAACAAGTTTTCATGGAATGATTTTGGGGTAAATATGCTGGTAAGTCTTGATAGGTGGTGTAGATGATATTGAATAAGTTGACCTGAGAGTTTGAGGTAAAAGACCGAAAACCCGCACGGATAGGTGTTGCAACGATCCGGGATTTTTCCCTCCGCTC